TCTGTTTTTAATTACCAAAACATTTTTTTAATTATAWCTAATAATCTCAAGAGCTGCCTATGGAAATAATATTTTCTATATATCTTTGAAAGAATGAAAGCATTGAGTTGCTTCATTTGATCATCTCTGCTGTTCTTGTTTGTTGTTGTTCTTATTTGCTTATTTTTATGGGATAGTGAAAGATATATGAATTTGTGGGCTGAAAGTAGATGAGAAACCAAATGGTTATGGTCCTAGTAAAATATGGCTGAATTTACAGTCTCTTCACATATGCTATTTGCTCAGATTTTGCTTGGATATCCAAATAGTAATGCCTCAGTAATAATTTTTTAGTGCAGGCATAAAACGGCTTCATAATTTACTCTGGTTGAAAAATCTGGGTTCATTCTTTTCTCTTTTGTCTTATTTTATCAGTTGATATTCGTTTAGATGCTTTTCATACTAATAATACAACATATGTTACATCCACAGTAAAAGCAAGGTACTTAAAAAAKGCTGCATCTCTGTTTCATACGTGTAGGCATTTCAGAAGTGTGGAAAGTGTCAAAACTACATAAAAGATTTTCAGAGCACAGATGAGAACACAAATAAAATAATAGCCTGCTCACTTAATGACATGGAAAAGGCCCTTTCAAGTGATACCTTGAACTTGTCCACAGTTCGGCTTTCAAGGGTTAATTGTGTTTTCTTGCCCWAGCTCTGTGTGTCAGTCCCAAAGGAGCAATGTTGTAGGAACCTGAGGTACCATCTCTTGTGGCTGAAATATATYTCTGCTAAACTGTTACTGTTTCATCAGTTGTCAATACAGCAGAACATGTACTCGATGAAATTTGGTAGAAATTCTTTCTTCATGTGGCAGGAAAGTGTCTCCTCACTGGAAAGAGCTCTGTCGCTAAGCCATGGCTAGAYTTGGATATACAATTTATTTTAAAAGTATAATTATACACATCTAAAACAGACACACCATTAAATGACAAGTTCTCTCTTTTCATTCCCTTTTGAATATAGATAATTATATTTAAGCAATGTGCTAATTGTGATACAACATTTAGCAGCCAAAGCCTGCTAGAATTTTATATGAAAATCACCTGTTAATCCCCATCATTAAACATATATGGAGGAAGAGGGGGAGTAAATGCTGCAGTATTGTACCTGTTTGTCTTACATTGCAAATTTGCCAAGAAAATGGCAGTAACTTCTTGTAGTGGTCAGCAAAATATGCCAAATCCTACAGACAAGCCATATGTTAGATGCCCGTTCTTATTCTCTCTTCATCTTTTTGTAGTAATATTAAAGTAATAATGAAATGCCTTGGAGTTCTGCTAGGTAGCTAATCCTTAAACAGCACCGACAACCTTGGTACCAATTCTACTTAAGTTGAAGCTTACCAATAAAATTCCTTCACTTTCCTAGTCTATAGAAGAAGAGGCCTTTGCAAGTGTAACAATGTGTATTATCTGTGTATTATTAATGTTTATTCTGGATACCTTATCACAGCTGAAAATTCAAGAAAGCAAATCTTGCATTTGTAATGTCTGTTATACTTCTTTACCTTCCTCCCCTTCTTCATCCTCCACAGTTCTTGAAGTCCCTTGCAAATTCCTGTGGGAGGAAGGAGTGGGAAGGGGAAAGGGACAGAAGTCTCCAAAATATCCAAGTTGCCAAAAGTTCTATGGAAATACGCAGAGGAAAGGAGAGCTGCTGTCTGAAAATTACCAGTGCACAACACAAGCTCTAATGTTTTATCAGGCAAAATGACTACTTGGGACAAAGGCAAAGCAAAGTTGAGGAAGCTTCAGATGAGGATGACCTTGGTGACCTTCCCAGTCACCAACACCCTGAGAGAGCAAGTTCCATTAGTCCCAATGCACAGAACTGCATTATTAGTTTGCCAGTTCAGTTAACAGAAAAGCAGCCTTTTTATTTCATCTGAATGCCATGCAGCAGAATGCCTTTCCGTAGCACATCAGAAAATCGTTCAGGGGCTGCTTTTGCAGCTCTTTAGAGGTTTTATCATTATTATTTCTTTAATACTGGAATCTGGGATTGGAACCAAAGTCTTGCACACAGGAGAATCTGATAATGCAATTAGTTAAAAAATTCAAATGATGTTTATGGAGTATTAGCAGTATTTGCAAATTCCACTCTTTCCACAAGGACTGTAGAAATGAGGGCATTTTGCTATTTTTTTTCAAGGAATGATTGGTTCAGTGAGTAAATTGCAGCTTGCTGGGCACTGAGCCATTCGTTGGAAGGGGAGCTCTCTGGTGATGTCAGTGACGTTCCATATTTATGCAGTAATGTCTCAAGATAATGCCRATACAAAACAGAATGGTGTTTGACATTTAAGAGAAGATACAGGCAGGAAAATTTGGAAGTGTTAATAAATGTATGTTTGGTAACAATCTTTTTTTGATCAGAATGTTGCTAGTAATTCCATATTGAGCCTATAGAAAACGGGCCTTTCAAGTAATGTTCTCCACAAGCACATTTTTTTGCTATTTAATAGCTTGTTTTATTGCTAAAATTAAGTAAGCAAGCTTGATAATTCCAAGTGCTCTTCGTGTTTTTATGGAGCCTCTTACAAGGGATATAATCTCAGAGAAGAACACTGTGTGAAGTACAAAGTTTGTGCAGTCCCCCTGCACCAAAAGTCCAAAGTGACTTTGGACTTGAGCTAGACTAATGCCAAAATCTGAGTTGTACCTTGATTAATTATGGATTTTGTAATTCCTTTGGGCAAATCAGTTGCAGTTACAGGCATGGACAAATGTAACTCAGTTGAGTCATGGACTAGATGATCTCTAGAGGTCCCTTCCAACCTTGACCATTCTGTGATTCTGTGAGGGCCTTTTGTCTTCTGATCTTGCCAGATACGTTTTTTTGTTGTTTTTTTTTTTTTTCCTGAAAATKTSAGATAGGTCTGAAGATTTCTACTGGTTTCTTACCTCACAGTAACAAGTGTCCTAACCGTTCTTCCTCATTTTTGTATGTTATAGGTTGGTTGATGTATTTGTCTGTGAAATTTCTGCAGTTTGGGGATAGAACGAGTGAAAAAAATCTTATCTGCTTCAGTATTCTTGCAATGTTTCAAAAGGAGGGCATTTTACAAGGAGAAATGCATGCATTCTCATGGCCACTAAGGCATTTGCTGCTTAATAGGCACTACACCATTTTATGTCTGTCAGGCAGGCTTTGGTCAATGCTGACCTATTTCCATTCTCTGTTTTCTTTCCTGTTGTTGTTTTTGTTTTTGTTTCAAAGCAGCTTCTTGTTTCATGGCTSTTGTTTGTAAGAGTAGAATTATCCTGACAGCCATTCAGCATTTGGCATGGGACCTGAAGCTTGATAGCTCCAAGCCTCCTTTAAACAAGTCAGTCTTGCAAAGATACTCGATACAGATATATTTAGTCTAAATAAAATATGATGCAGAACTCTCTTCTTGATTTCTCAAGACACGACCCCCTCCTAAAGTTGGCAGTGAATTTAGGACTAGAATAAAGATGAARGAAGAAAGGACAAGATTTGCAGAGATTCACAGCTGAGGGTTAGGAAACCTTTATTTGTTGTATCTTATGTATCTGCTTCAAAAATAGATAGGTGTTTATCAAAAAATGAGCTCTTGTAAAGGCGAGGAAGTTGAATCTTTCGCTGCTGCATGCAGTCACTGTGTTGAAGAGTGCCCTGCAAGCAGCAGTGTCCACCAGCTGCATACAAGAGGGCTGGGTTGAAGAGATTTGCACGCTCCACGGAAACACGACGTTTGAGCTGCTCTACAATAATAGCTAAATCTTGTCACTCCATGCAGCTGTGTGTAATGTTGCCCTTCTGGCCATGTCCTTTCTCTGCAGTATGCAGAAACAGAAGCACTGCGCAGAACTAAAGTCTGTAGTTGCAGGGGGGCTGCTTTGGTGTAGTGGTTCCCTACTGCCTCTTTTTTTTTCAGAGTACTGCTATAGCAGAGAGCTTATTTCATTTCCTTCCTACATCCAAAAAATAAAAGTGCAGGGACAGTTACATTTGAAGCATTCAGCCTTTTGCAGGAATCTTCAGGTGCCTATAAACAAAACTACCATAAAAGAAACTTGATCATTAGAATAAAAACCTGTCTGTCCTTCCCATTTCTGCCTYCCTCCTTTCTGGTCTGTGGTTTCAATTCTGTTATAAAAATAAAAGAAAGGATGAATAGGAATTTCCCGGCCTTTGGCATTATTAATGCATGTCATTATGTTATTCCATAATAACATGAAAAATAATTAGGTTCCTATGAAAAGAAGTTCTAGGCTATTTCTGGCTTGTGGACATGTCTTCTCAACCTCCTTCATGGTAGTTTAGCTCTTCTGCTTGCTCTAAATTACCATGTCTCTACTCATTTTAATGACTTAATGATAACTCACTCACTTTGATGCAGTTACCACACCACCACACCAGCAAAAAAAAAAAAAAATAAAATAAAAGGAATTTCAAGACTGTCTATATACAGTGTCAAAATTAACTTTATTGCGGGAAAGGAAAAAGTAAAACTTACCTGGAAGTGCACTGTGCACAAGCACACAGACCTGTATCTAAAAGCATTGCCAGTTTGTACTTTCTTACTCCTTATGCTCTGCATGTGCAGAGAACACTGTTCCACCCGCTACCTGCCTCCCACTTCCCAGCTAATATTAAAAGCAGAGACAGCTCTGTAGAGAATATCTTGTTAAGCTGAGGTCATTGCTTTCATAAAGTGCTCACTAGCAGTTATGAAGCATATAAAATGAAATGGTTTAGATTACTGCTGAATACATTTTGCACAAAATCCACACACTTTTGTTGTTTCCTACTCCATTCCTTCTCTTCTTTCTCCARATTCTAATGAGGCATCTCCTTTGCTTATGGCCTAGCTGGCAAATTGTAACTGCCTTCTACCCCACAGGGAGAACTACRTAGCCTTGTGTTCCTTTTCTGTAATGTCTTCTGACTTTTGGTTGTTCTAAATGTTTTTTTTTTCTCTCATCCAGGTACTGCTATGTGGATATTTGTTAGCAATGACTGATGTGGAATCTACATATGCAGATTTTATTGCTTCAGGAAGAACCGGTAGAAGAAATGCACTACACGACATACTTGTGTCCTCCRCGGGTGGGAACTCTAGTGAGCTAGCCTTAAAGTTATCAGAGCTTGATATAAGCAAGACAGGTGAGTACATTTTGGTGTTATTACTATCTAAAACTGAATGAAAGCTAAAAGGAAAAAGCAGTGCAAAAAGACATGGCTTTGGGGCATGCATGATTCCCTTATCCCTTACCAGGACTCAGATGCTTTATCTGCTACTGGGAGATCAGCTGGGGTTGCCTGCAATACAAATTCTAGATTGCAGAAATAGGAAGAACGGTTATTTGCAAGTACAGCTTTTTATTAAAATAGATAAGACTTTATACATAGTGTCTGGTGGCAGGGTTCATGTAGGAATAAATATTACAGAAAAGTAAATATAGGGAAAAAAAGGACTAGTTTTAGAAGGTGTTTATTCAGACAGAACCAACTTTTCTTGATAATATTTAATGGAAGGGAAGCTGGCTGTTTTGAAGCTTGCAGGAGAGAGTGTGTCTCTGCCTAAAAGGTTATTGTAAAGGTTATSTTTGTTCTCAGCTGCTAGAGTACACAGCAATAATAGTGCATTTATACTTGTTGTGCTTCGATTTTTGTCTCCAGTTAAATTCCCTTTGAAGTGATCAACACTAATACACTCCTAACTCTAAGACTTACTCTAATTTTAACTCGTGCAGCTTCAGTTAGCAAGAAGAAGAAACAGTGTATGGTGAAGAGCCTTGCACTAAATAAAAATAGTTATTCTGTAGGTATTGCTGTAGGTATTATTTGAAAGGCAAAGTGCCAGTTTCTTTCTTGCTTCTTCAGCCTCACATTTAAACTTATGAGCACRCTGTTTGACCTTGAATATTTAGAAAATTTACACTATCTATCTCCACTTTTCACTAAAGCTGTTGGAATAATTGCAAGATAGGGCTATATTTTCTGTGATCCATAGGAAGAGTGTAACATAGTGCCTGTAGTATGTCAGTACAAATTTTGTTCTTGCCATTAGCTCTGTCACGATGAGAATGGTTGAAATAATTATTAGCCCAAATTTGAAGAGATAATTCAGGAGTGTTTAGTTTGTCCCTTTTTCTCCTTATATAACTGTTAATCATTGCAGAAAAGTATTCAAAGTGGCTCTTAAAATTATACCAGCATAGTTTTTGGGAAGTCATGCAGTTTGAATTAGATACAGTGAAATATGCTTCAGTTTTATACTTTTAGTACACTTGGTGATTGTATGCAAAGTGGTAAGGAAAAAGTGCAATGAAGAATGAGCCCCAGCCTCTGCAAGTCTAATCTTTAGAACAAACTGCTGCTTTTCCAGGTATTTATGGGCATGCCAGAGGACACAAATTCAGTGCAGAAGTTGAAAGGAGGCTTGTAAAAGAGCCTAGTAAAATCTGAAAAATCCCCCAGTCTCTGAAAAACTGGGGATAGTGCAGGTCTGCAGTGAAGGACTGATTGTTGAAATTTATCTTTAAAGTGAATTTAGCTCACAGTAGAGATGCTTTAGGTGTAACCACTGGGCACAGTGGTTGATATTGAAAAGTCAATAACATTCTGCAAGGAAAAATGAATTGAGTTGCACATTAGTAGAATTAATAAAAGGCATTCCTAAGTTACTAACTCACACAATTGTGTTATAGCTTACAGGATTTTATTTTGCTTTGTTTTGTGTTTTTTTTTAATATTATTTTTATCTTTATTTTGCTCATTGGAATCAAAAGGCTACAGAATAATTATAGCTGTTACTCTTAAGAGCTTAGAGCTTCAGCAAAGCTTGAGTTGCCCACTTAGTATGGGATGGATTAAAGACTTCTTCACTATCAATTTGAATAGACTACAGAGCAGGTAAAAAAGAAGTCAATCAGCAGTTTCTACTCATCTGTATTTTTGTGATAACTGAATGAATGTAGGAGGCTTTGTAGAAAACATATGGACAACTCAGGCAAAAGTGATTTCTGTCCATCAGGAATTCACATGTAGCTCCATCCTGTTGGAGTCATTTATCTGTGGCAGATAATTCTGAGAATCAAAGAAAGTCTCCAGATTTGATTTGATAAAAATTCAGGTTTCTGAGAAAGTGACTGGCAAAGCATTTTTATTTTTAAGTCAAGCCTTAATGAATAGAATCAGAACAAACCTCACTGTTAGTAAGTTAGCACTTGATATAACTTCTCATTAGGCTGAATTTGGTAATTATTAGTACTTCAGGCATATYGCATAAAATGCAGTACAAAGTCTGAACGTTTTGCAATAGAACTTCTTTTCATTAGCTGCTATTTCATACATGTAGAAGGGAGAAAGGTTCTTTTTTTTTTTAATAAACAGAGGTTAAGTTGTAAATGTACTATGCGGTTTGAAATCAGGAAATAAATACATATATTAAGATTGAGGCACTGCTACCTCTGCTTTGCAACTTTCTTTACCTTCTTTACAACTTTGTCCACAGCATTTTCCTCCCAAAACTTTTGTCTTAAGCCATTTCAATTCAAATGATTCAGAATCCTCCTAAGATACAAGTTGATCTCATCAAGTTGATCTTACTCAATTCCTTACTGTTATGTACCAATAGCTAATTACTGCAATTTTCAGGGATTTCTATTTTTTTTCCTTTAAGCTCCAGCTTCTAGCCAACTGAACATGTTAGGTCTTGAATCATTACACAAAAAAAATTGTAGACTACCTTGTATGTAGGTACTTAGAAACATTATCAAGTCACCTCTTATCCATCCTTAGACGGTCCTTAGGAGTTTTCTACTTGCTTTTGTCATTAGAAAACATCTTCCATTCCTCAGATCATTTTGTGGCTTGCAGTGAAACTGGACTGATGGCTTTGATGGAGTGTGGTACTTAAAATGAACACACAGTGTGGGCCTGTTGAATTTGCATCTCTTTTTACTAAACTCTGTTAGGTTTGGGTGTTCTCCTTTATTGCTATATAATATAGTAAATAAATATGTAAAAATGCATTATCACTTTTGAAAACTTCCTTTATTTCATATTATTTTAGGTGTTACTTGAAATGATAGTGGGAGTTGGAGCCAGGAATTTGATTTTAAAGATGTCTTTTGAAATAAAAAATATCATGTATCAGTAGTAAATGATATGATATGTAATTAAAGATATAGCTTTCATGTTAATTTCWTTTTTTGTCAGGCCAATGGATGAATCTCTCTGTTGTGGACTGAATCATTCATCTTTCTTGTATCTTTTTTTAGAAGGAGAAGGAGATGCACAAAGAAATCCAAGTGAGCAAACTGGGGAAACCCAAGGGGAGGCAGCAAAGCAAGAAAGCTGACATCCGACTTTGACCGACTGGAGCAGCTGCTGGATGTTTTCGGAGTACAGGAGCATGCTGGAACGAATTTGTTTCCATGAGCAAGAGTATGGAAAAGAAAGTGCATGTGTCTTCACTGCTGGAACCCATTCAACACAATGTTAAAAATGGGGGTACAAGCTGTGGCAGAAGACAGAATTTTCTCTACCTCTGTCATAAGCAATGGTTGAACATGTATTGATTTTGGAGATAGAGTCATCAGATGGATCCCTTCACAATGACTACTTGGTGGGAACACTTTTAGAAAGTAGAACAGGTAAATCTTGTAGCAAATGGCCTTTGAAACGTCAGAGGATCAGATAGTGTAACTTAAGTAAAGGCTTGTATGATCCTCGGAGTTTAAAATTCTCTGGCCAAAGTGTTCACCCATTAAAAGAACTGTAAAGAAAGCACTGTTTTTAAAACTCTGCGTCTGTGTTTTACAGCTCTGTTATTTACAATGGTTTTTGTATTGTACAACTTAGATGCTCCACACTGCCCCTTCTCAACTGCTTATGAAGAATATTTCTGTTACTGTGAATTTTTCTACCACTCGTTTTGAAAGGGCTGTTTTTTGCATAATGTGGTGATGTGCTCATGATAGATTTAAAATGTCAACAGCTAAATTACTTATGCCTAAACATAAATGACTCAGCAAAACTCTAATTTGTTACTAGATGAGCCTTCAAAACGATTCATTAATGTGAATATTTGGTGTGTTTTGTGTCCTTGGTACAGTTTTGCCACTTGCCTGTAGTTAGTTGCATATCAAAGAGTTGAACTGAATCTCTTACATTATTCTTCCCCCTTTTTTTCTAATTTTATGCCCAATTTATTAATCTTTCTCCAAACTATTTTTTTAAAATGGTAGTCCAATTATTTTACTATTATGGTAGTTTTAAGAATACATTTATAACCTTATATGGTTTAAAATCCAAACAAATTCCATGGTGCTAGAGATTTTTCTGGTTCACATTGTCAAAACGGGCCTTGTTTACACATGAGTAAAAAACCAGCATAGATATTGCCAAACATCTATTCTGGAATGATTTTTAGACTACAGAGTAGTTAAACTAGTGTATCACGGCCTGGACCCAGCCACTTGGACTAGTTGCTCTATTCCTTGACTCCACCTCTGTTGATAAGGCCGTTGGCTTGAGGCACAGCCAGCCTCTGCTGACCAATGCAACCAAGTGCCAAGTGCTAGAAGCTACTACAGCAACTTTGTGACCAGGATGGGGACAGAGAAAGTCTCTACTTGACATCTAGCACCGCCAAGATTGGATTTTTCCCATTTCAGCTATTCTTAAATGACAGTCTATACTGGACACTCACTGCAATACCAGGAGAGCTTGTCCATCCAGAGGATTACTTAAAACAGCTTTAACTGAATAACCTACTTTGCAGTAGCTGTGCTGGTTGACTTCCCCCCCTTCTCCTCCTGTGCAGACAAGGCCCAAACTGAGGCTGAATACTGCAAAATGGGCAGTTGTGCCTCTCCGTGACTAAGGTGAGTATAGAGTGACTGACGAATCAACCATGGCAAACAAATAAGCACCAATCAGAGTCAGATTTTCTTTTTATTAAGAGGAGGTGATGTCACTTTCTTTATATATTATATATATATATTATATATATTTTTCTGTTGTTGGTGGTTTCAAATGTTATGCACTTTTTAATGTTTGTAAACTTTTACTAATTAATGGTGTGATTGCTTCCTAAGTAGATTGATCATCAGTTAACAAAACATCTTTATGGCCACAGCTGTTTCTACCATATGTMTCATAGTACTTGTCACTTGGAATTCTTTTGTGAGACGTGTTTAAAAAAAGGAGAGAAAAACAAGCAAACCTCTGATCAGTATTATGAGCTCATTTATTCGTGTTAATAAAAACCAGCAGTATGCTTGTGGTTCATTAGTGTAATAGTAACTCTTTCACCTGTTATTGTTTGAAAATTAAAAGCCTTGCTGTCATACTGGCTGACAAATGCCCCATCTTCCTGAAGTAGTTTCTTTGCTTTGAAAATACTATTACCTTTAAGCTAATTAGTTGTTAATTTGTTTCCCTTGGTGTTCCTTTTAAAGGTAACCTTTTTCTTTCATTGCTCTTTATCAGACCTTTAAGTTTAGCAAAACTTGTTTTCTGCTTTGTATGGCACTAATTTCATTCTAGCACTAACACCAGAAAGAAATAAGATGTTAGGGTCTTTATATATGTGTTGCTTTACTGGCAATCCACAAAACAACATCACTAAAGAGTAGTAATAAGAAATAATAGTGGAATAAGTAATCATGGTACATTAAAGCTTTGATTTTCTTTTCTTTCCATGCTTTTCTTATTTCAATACGTTTTTGTTCTTCCTAAACCTTCTATGTTGTGAAATAAAATACATTTGAAACTTTCACCTCTATTTTTATAGTTGTTTCTTCCCTGTATTTCTCTTCTTGTTTTCTTTCATTTCTAAAGCAAGCATGGAGACCTCTGTGGCTTTTTGAAGTGTGTCTCCTTGATGGAAAATAGCACTATTAATTTTGATAACGGTAAAAGGCTATTTATGTTTCTCAATCCACAAAAGAATATGAATGCTTATTTCATCACTTGGACTCTGCTCGCTCTCTTTATTTAGGATATTTCTCTAGCATCTGTAAGTAGCCCTAGCTTTACCTGAAACAGTTGCAGTAAAAACTGTACAGAAAGCAAGGTGGAGAGAAGTACAGCCATCATTTTGCACAATTCTAGGGAATATTCCTAGCCACTAGAACCCTTTTGGTTTTGTTCCTGAATTAATAGCATGCTCTCTGGCATGTATTTGGAMCCTTGCCAGCTAAAATTTTCGGGGCTAGGGACCTATCAAAAACTGCAGAAGATTCTCAGAAGGCGGCTAGCCGATGATCCTGCAGTTATACAGATACAAATTGCTTCTTGGTTTCTGTTCTCTGATCCTAGGCGTGTTTGACTTACCAGTACAGATATAGGCTGGATATCCTTATGCATGTACTCAATCTGCACCAAATCATACTACTGCATCTCAACTGCTATTATTACCTGAGTGATTTTAAAATAGCTAGTTCAAGCATAGTCACACCTTTATGGCTGTGTACTTTTAACATCTCTGCCTGTATAACAGGAATATGGATGGCAGAATCATGTTTTAAATATGTCTTTTTTCCTCTGCTAGTTACCTGTACAGTAAGGCTGGGRTTTTGCTTCTGATCCTATAATTTCTCCATATTTTACTACTACCATAGTAAGGAAAATGTTAATAAGTTTAACTAAATCAAGATCATTAGCAATCATTATCTATAAACTCAAAGTTATTTTAGCTTAGTAGTGTACTTTCTGCAGATTTTTCTTCTTCCGCTCTCTTTACAGATAGCATTTTAATGCTTCCTCCCCGTCATTCCCATTACTACAAAAAATAGACTCTTCAACCATGTTCTTTATTGACCAAGACAATTTCCATGCCTGCATTTGCAAACATTGCACTTGAAGGCTTGCATTCTCCATCCACATCCACAAACAGGAGGACTACTGAACACAAATTCTATGATCTTGACATTTTTCACTTATTGCATTTACTGCTGTTGGTGTGATTGACAAAGATTTGATTCTTAAAAGGGAAGCACATACATACATAGACCATGACCTTCCATAAGAACAAACCAAYATCAAATGACTTGTGTCATTTACCACTATTTCTCTTGCTATTTTTTTCTTCGATTCTAAAATTTCAAGTGGAAAAAAGTGTATTGATGGGTCCCAAAGTGTTACATTTCATACAAAGGGCAAATGTCTCAAGTCTGAGGGAGGAGGCATCTACTATAAGTGGTTAAGCTTGAACTCCTAGAGTATTAACTCATTCCTTAGCTAAACATAATGAAGAATTCCAGATGCGTTCAATGATTGTGTTTCAGAGATATTAGTGAAATTTTACAATGAAAATACTGAAAACTGCTGCTGAGAGTGAGCTCAGTAACCTCAGTTTTGTCAAAGTTCAATGCCTTATGTCACTGGTACTCCCACATTAAATTTTTGCCCAGACATGTCCGTGGTTTTGCTGTACTTMTCTTCCTGCTCTGTTTTCTGTCCTGTGTTTTATGTATGTTTATGTAAAGTAATGCCCCAATAATATATGGAATACATTAGAGAATTTTCTGTATATTTAGCCGATCAAGTTCATGTAGTGGGTGAGGGATGTTTCTATTAGGCCTTTTGATGCTTCAAAACCCTAAATGGTTGAAGAAGCAAAYGAGCTAGGAGGGGATCATGAAGAAAAAAAAAAATAAGGACAGCAAACAGGAGAATATTTCATTGGAATTAAGAAGCATGTGAAGCCTAATGGAGAGAATAAGGCCATCCATCATTCCTCTGTGGAATGATGGACAGTCAGAATGGGTTGCTCTTATCTGAACAGAAGAGAAATGACACAGCTTGGCTTGTTTGGGTCTCAGCTGTGTTAGAGAAGAGAAGCAGACAAAAGTTTTGTGTCCTTGCTATTGATAAACCACAGACAAATAAGAATCATCAAGTTCTAATTAAAAAAAAAAAAAAAAAGGAATTTCTAGATCAGTTAGAATATAGTTTCTGTTTTGAAAAGCAGATACTTTAAACAGCTATGTAACCTCAGCAGAGAAAATAAGGGCCAAACTGAATTGCCTGGGAGAAACATGATACTGAACCAGTTCATATTGTTGTTTGTGACTAGCAAGTCTTAACTGAGTTAATGGAATATAAATGAAGAATGTGAGAATAAAAGAATAAAACTAAATATAAATATAGTGAAGTGCACTCATGCTTCTGGGAAGAAGCCTGCTCTTCTGAAATCAGCATACTTCATATTTTACCCTCTAACCTTATGGGTTAAGCTGCTAATTTTCTGGGAGGGAAAGCAGGTAACATTTTTACATGTGTATATATGCAAATGCTCCTGTGGTGTTTTCAGGCAACACATACATGCTTCAGTACCCTGAGATCCAGTGTTTATAAAAGACCTCTGCTAATAATGTCTAGCTCATGACCCCTTTTGAAAGCTTTAGCAAATAAGTTGCCAGTATACTTTTCAGCCCCATTTGCCATTAAGAAATCTCTGGTGTTAATCCATGAGTATAGTGTAACATGATAGTCTGATACAAACTTGATCAAAGTAATTTCTTTTGTGTGCTACCAAAATGTCTGATATGAAAATGGAAAAATCAGCACTGTCTTCTTAGTAGCAAAGGCAGATAATGTTGCTTTGTATCTGTTAAATAATAAACTGATTCAGCAGTTAAGGATTAAATGGAGTTCATTATAAGAAATGGAAAATCTCTTTCCATGTAAAAACAAGCTTATAAAAAATCAATCATTGTTTTTAACATGCAAAAAGGCAAGAGATAAAATAAAAAAGTAAAAGGCGTTAATTTATAGCAAATATTGCCAAAGTATCTGAAAGATGAAGGGAGATAGTTATAGAGAGATCAAATCTTTTGACAGTCCAACATTTCAACAATGGATCAGTGGTAAGCTGATCCATTCTGCATCTGCGGCGTTGCTTTAGCATGTAAATTAACTCACATTGCATCCATCATTGCAATGAATATTGCAAATAGATTCACCGAACCACTTTTTAAGCATGAATAGATTCCAAAGCAGCAAAGGAAAAAAGATTTTTTTTTTACCATCTAGCATATTGACAGATGTTTCATTACTAGTATGCTGCCATTCAGATGTCAGTTGTTCCAATAAAAAAGGGAAAACACAGGTTTGAGTTCATAAATAATGATGTGCAGTATAATAATGTGTACATCAGCCAAAATGTTCATTTGTCTTAACAGTGTTCTGTTATTACCTAAATACATAAAATACAAGTATCCAACCAGTGCCATAAGCCATTTATGCCTTTATGGGATTCTATTTTATCATTTATTTACAAGGTGTGTTTCCTACTAGTTCTCTTAGTCCACTTGCCTAGAAAATCATTTCTGCAGTCTCCATTCTTTTGTGGCAGTTCTTTAATTTGCTGGCTATCAAACATGTACTTTGGAAGTTAACAGCTCACATTCAGTAATGTTCTCTATTTTCTGATTTAATACATATGACTAGAAGAGGACATATATGAGTTACTGGCACCAGGAACCACTCAGAAACATTTTGGAACCCCCATCTCTGGCAGACATCCAAAACCCTTCCTGGATGAAGCCATGCAAGGCTATTGGGTGAATGGTATCATAGCTAAATAGGGAAGACCAAGATTATAGGTAAATTGSGGAAGGGGAACCTGGAGAAGGATATTGATGTATTTAAATACAGTGAAGTCCAGCTTTGTGGTTTTATACAGGCATCCTGAAAACAAAAACTTCAGTGAAATGTGGTTATTAAATTAGATTTGACTAGCTCATAAAATCTCTTTAAGATGTTTGACCATAACCCATACAACATACCAAAACATCTGTTTGGAAATCTTTTTCAAGTTAATGATGTCTCCTCCACAAGAACGGCACACACTTGGTCAAAATACTTCTGGCAACAAATATCACTTCACTCGGCAGAACTGATTTTATTTTATCATAGAATCATAGAATCATTAAAGTTGGAAGGGAACTTTAGATATCAACATCTAGTCCAACTTCCCTGCACATGCAGGGTCACCAACTAATTATCGTTAATTAGTTTTTCTATATGATGTTAAAATGGCATGTTCACTCTAAAACATGCTTTTCAATGTCCATGTGTTAATAAATATTGCCACTACTTCAGACAGTCTATACTTTAATAGGATGTTATGTAGTTTTAACATCCCTGAGATCTTGGAAGTTACAAGCACAAACAAGATGCAGCTTAAACGTTTCCATTAGATCTCTCTTTCCACAGTTCTATCTTTGATCCTGCAATGCAGTCAAAATGTAGACTGTGTAACATCTGATTTACAGTCATCATTACCCTAGAAACCAACTGGTATTCTCAACACATTATATAGTGTTCAGAGAAGGATGCATGCTATGAGGGAAAAGGATGGATCAGATAGGTGGCTTTATGTAT